CCCGGAGCCCACCAAGCCCCCGTTCCAGCTGCGGCCCTCGCTCTTCGTGCTCTCGCCCGTCAAGGAGCCCACGCAGGCCTCGCCCCGAGCCGCCTCGCCCGCCAAGCCCCGCTCCCTCGACCTGGCGCCCAGCCTGCCCAAGGCAGGTCTCCCGCCGTCCCCGGCCCTGCCCCGGGCCTCACGCTCCTCGCCGAGCCTCTACGCCTCCCCCTGCCAGGATGGCCTGCAGCCCGCGGCCGTGAGCCCCCCCTATGGCAGCGACATCTCCCCGGTGTCCCCCTCCAGGGCGTGGTCTCCCCGAGCCAAGCAGGCACCCAGGCCCTCCTTCTCCACCCGGAACGCCGGGATCGAGGCTCAGGTGTGGAAGCCTTCCTTCTGCTTCAAGTAATGGCCCTGGGGTCCCACTGCCGTCGAGGCCCCTCCCCGAGGGCCGGGTGGATAGCAGATGTGGCAGCGGGCAGCGCAGAGCAGAGCAGGGACCGGGGAGTCTGTGGCTCAGTGTTGGTGGCTGCCGTCAGCTAGCCTGGGACCTTGGGCAAGTCGCCTCCCCTCCCTGAAGCCAGCTGCCCCTTCCCGACCACTGGGGCCTGGACTCCGCGTCTGAGTGTGGGGGCACGGGGAGAGAACCCTCGGCTGGTCCTCTGGTACCTTGGGCGGAGGGATGCCGGAGCGCGTGTCCAGCGTCTTGCTGGGGGTGGCCCAGAAGGGGGTCCCCCCGGGACTTCTGGAGCTAGCGGCTGCGGGTCTACCTCCTCAGCCCCTCCAGTGGGCCTCCCCCGTGAGGCCTGTGCTCCTGGTTCCTTTTTTCCTGCTGCCGGACCCTCCCCTCCACGGCCTGCCTCTCCGCCTCTGCCTCCCCACGCTGCCGTCTCCTCCCCGCGGCTCAGGAGCCTCCTGGCCGACTCCGCCTTGCTGCCGCCCTGCGCTTCTCTTCCGCCCTCTCCAAGGCCCGGCCCTGCTGTAGGGACGCTCCTGGACCCAGACCCCAGTCCAGGCTGCCCCTGGCTTGCCTTCCCTGTCCCGGGTGGCGGGCATCCCAGGGCATCCCTAGAGAAGGAGAGCCCCGTGGGAGACTGCGCAGAAGTGGATGTGCCAGGGAAAGCGCCCCCAGCTGTGCAGCCACAGGCTGTTTTGGTTTCAGCCAAGGTCTGCCTGGATAAAAGAAGCCACCTCTTGGCAGTGCAACAGCCTGGGGGAGAGGCAAGGGAGGAAGGTCTGGTCCCATCTCAGCCTCTGTTCGCTGTGTGACATGACCAAGTCCCTTCCTTTCTCTGGGCCTCCATTTTCTCTTGTATATATGAGGGTCCTTCGAGCCAAAGCAGTCTGTGAGGATTGAGAGACTAGGCTGAAGCCTGGGGAGAAAGGCCTCATAAGTGTCGAGATTGTCCCCTGGGAAGAGAGGAAAAGGAGATGGGCAGGGGCTGAAGACAGAGGGAGTTAGCTGGCTCTGAGCTTAGCCTGGCAAGGGGGTGGCTGGAACAAGCTGCCACAGGGTCAGGGGTGAGAAGCCCGGGCTGGGTTGGCGAGGGACAGCCTGAAGGCATGGGAGCCTGGCACTGGCTGGGGACGCATGGCAGCTCAGCGAGAGGGGACGGAGGAGGCCTTAGTGTGTTAAGAAAAATCTGGGGGCTGAGGTGAGTGGATTGCCTGAGCCTGCGGGTTCGAGACCCGCCTGGGCAGCGAGACCTCATCTCTACAATACATCAAAAAATCAGCCGGGCGTGGTAGCGCATGCCTGTAATTCCGGCTACTCGGAAGGCTGAGGCAGAAGGATCGCAGGAGCCCA